TGAGGATGATGTCTGCGTTGAAGTATATGGCGCGGGCGATGTTGATACGCTGCTTTTGACCCCCTGAAACCGTGATTCCTCGCTCACCGATCTCGGTCTCGTCACCGTTTGGGAGCATTCGGAAATCCGGGAGCAGCGCGCAAGCTTGTGTAACTCTATCGTATTGACCGCGATCGAAATCCCTCCCGAAGATGATGTTTTCTCTGACGGTGGCGTTCTGTATCCAGGCATTCTGGGGGCTAAACGCCCTGGTAGCTCCAAACATGACTGTGCCTGTCGTCTTGCGCATCTCACCTGCGAGGGCAGCCAAGAGAGAGCTTTTGCCTGAGCCCACGTTGCCGATGACGGCGACCAATTCCGAGCGGCCGACGGTGAGGTTGAGCTCGGGTATTTGGAAGGTGTCTTGGGTCATTGATGTGTTGGGGGTTTCGACCTGCTTCTCATCTATGACGGGGCCGTTACTTGACTGCCGGGATCGCGTTTGTTCCCAGGTGAATGTTGCGTCCCTGACGACAATGGCGTTGTCATTGTCGTGATCCTGGATTGCGTCTTCGCTTGCCTCCTCAGCCAGAAGAAACTCCTGAACTCTCATCACCGAGGCAAGCGCATCAATAACTTGGCCAACCGCCACGGGAAAGATGCTCAAGGGAAAACGCATTTGGTTGAAGAGTGCCAGGGAAGAAAATATCGGGGCTGGCGTCAGCGGATGGTTCCCAGTCGTCGAGTACGTGATGAAAGCCAACATGGACGCGAAGACCGGTATCACCATCCCAATCGACTGAACACCGTCGCGGAGAGCTAAGAGAGCCTGGATCGCCTTCACCTCGTCCTTTCGCACCTTCTCCACCCGTTGCAGGAAGCTCAGCTCCCACCCGAAGAGCTTGATGAACCGAATGGACTGCAAGGCTTCTGAAATGATGCTCACGCGTCTGTCCGTGAGCTTGTTGATGACGCCGCGTCTCGCAAAGAGGACTTTGGTCGCCATGCCGAACAGGGGCGCGGAGACGAATAAGACTCCAAGCCCAGGCAACGCGGAGTACCCCAGATTGATGAGCAAGAGAACAATCGTGATAATGATGGACAGCGGCGCCGACCAGGCGAGATGGAAGAAGCTAGACGCCTGGTCGATCCGGGATGCGTCGGTTGAGACCAAGTTGATGATTCGTCCGTTGCTCCATCCCTCGTCTTCTTGTGGCTTCTTCTTCTCATCTCCGCTTTCTGCGCCTGTGGTGGCTTCGGAATTTGGGCCTCCGGCTTTGGCCCGACCCGATAGTTGAAGTGACTTGGCGAAGATCCTCGACATGAGGATGGCGCGGGCCTCCCCGCCGACTGAGAGTCCCGCATAAAGGAAGTGGTTGGTGCAGACCCCCATGATGCCTTGTAATGCCGTCATGACAATGACCAATCCGATACCGTAACCAACGGAGGGTCCTTCTTTCCCATCTCGTTGAGCGTTGAAAGCATCTGTAGCAAACGCGATGATGTACCTCAGGAAGAATGGAGTTACGGCCTGAGCTATAGTAGCGATAAGTTGCAAGATGCCGCCCAGAAGGAATTTGCGCTTGAATGTGGTGAAAAGTGCGCTGAGAAGAGGACGTGGAGCTCCATTCGCCACGCGCCGGTTGAACTCGCCCTCAAATTTCTCCTCCAGGCCCGGCACAGCTCGGTCAGGGTTTACCAACCAAATATCGTTTATTTCCAAAGGCCGTTGGTAGCCAAGCTGAATTATCGTGTTACTCACGCGGTCTCATTCTGGTTGGTGCCAGGCTTACATGAATAAGAGGTGTTAGCCAGCTGAATACTATCTTGCTCAGTAGGCCCGCAGACCCTTCTCGTGATGGCTGTTCTCGTTGGCCGGGTATCTGCGGTACCACGCGGGACTTCAACGGATTCAAACGCCTCCGCCATCGGCCGGGCTCTGTAGGGGTCACCGGTTCCACTTCGTCGTTGTTGGACTGGCTGCTCTCCGAAGCAGCAGCGGACATCTCAACATCTGTGATTGGCTTCATGTTGCTGCTTCCTTGCCGTGGGCTGGGTTGAAGTCGACCCTTAGATTGGCAGACGGCGTTGAAAAAAAGCGGTATTAGGATTTCCACAGCGGGAAGTGAGTACCTCCTTACCGGACCGGGGAAAGCGGAGGTCGGACCTGTCTAAGTGAAAATGCCCCTGTTAGCTGAAAAGTAGACTGGGATAACCCATATTTCAAGCTTTACGTGGCTGTCAAGAGCACGTAACAAAACCGGCATCAGGCGACTTTTCATCCCTGGAAGCGCGTGGTGACCTGAGTCGTGGTGCCGACGGCACCGCCATTCACAAGTTCGAATCTTCGATGGCCTCTACCGAGGACATCGTATTACGGTCGAATCGCCGATACATCGAGTTGTCCAGAAAGGCATAACGCAGCGAGATATCATAGCGAAAGCGAGCAAACTAATATCGACGGATGAAGCTTACATGTATGGTCGTCAACACTTATTCTACACATCTCTCTCGGCCTCGGCCAATCTGTTCAGCTCTTTTTCCAGTGATACTGAAAGCTCGCCTGCAGTCGAGTCCTCTACGACCCCTTTCTCCCAGTTCAAAGTAACAGACATGTAGCCGTTTTTAGCAGAAGCAAGACAAACTGTACAAGGCGAACCACTCGTTGAGGCTCCCGCTGAAAACACGACACGGTCAAATGCTGCTTTATGCTCCTCTAGGCCAGCTACTGATGACACCCCACCGTCCACGACACCGATGTTCGTCACATTGAAGGCGTGCCGTCTCCTTCCTCCCAACATGCCCAAGAAATGCTGCCGGGAGTCGCTCACGAACTTGGTCAGACCAACCGAGAGGTTCTCTGACGAGGAGCTCCTTTTGTGAATGAACTCTTTGCACTCGCTGGCGGCCTTCCAGATCTTGTTGTCATCTGCCGAGGCAGTCACTCCCGCATGTGCGGTACTTGACCGGCATGAGATATAACCCCACGGCAAGCTTTTATCGGCAGAAAAACAAGGCTCCGCGAACGCTGTAAAGCAACCCATGTCGTCCGGTGAATGCTTCGAGAGTTTCCTCAGTGAGAATGGCATTGAAGCGATGAAGCGAGAATGAGTTGGGTATAAGACACCAAGAATTCGTGCCACAAGGACTGTAACGAGGGCGGTCATGGTCGCTTGATGTTTCCTACAGCCGTTCCGCAAGTCTTTTACCACGCTTTGTGGCAAGTAGAAAGTTCGAGTGTTGCTCACCGGAGGGAGTGCATCTTGAATAGGAGGCCCCGACCATTCCAGAGTATCTGTAGACGAATACAAATATGTCTTGAATGCCTTGGTCAACATGAAGAGGGCAGTGAGGGGAAGGTCCATACTCTCCTCCAAGTGAGGGACCAAATCAAGTTTTGGTACCTGAATGATCTCAGGTTTAGAGGAAGCGCTAGGGCTTGTTTCCCCTGACTCTATGAGGTCTCAGCGTGTTACGGAACGTGCGGTGGAATGCTGCCCCCGACAGCCCATCCCCAACAACGTGGTGGAATGAAAAGGAGAGGGCAAAACTGGTGATGTCTTTTGAACTGATCACTTCGCAGCGCCACAGCGGAAGATCTTGAGTCCTATGAAAAGGCTTCCGATGTTCATCTCGAATTCTGGCGTCAACCGCCGTAAGATCAGCAGGATCTGCCTCGACGAAATGGACGATCTCTCGAAGATCGATTTGATCGAGTCGTTTGAACGACGGCTGAGGGCTATCTTCACCTGTCAAGGCAACGCTAAGAACAGGATGCCGCTCTATTGTCTTTCCCAAGGCGGCCAAAATGAGACCCCTGATATCGCCGTCGACGAATGCAGGTGCAGTCTTGGAGAGAGTATACACGCAAGCAACTTGCACATTGGTGTAGAACTTGACGAGATGTTGGTGGATGAGAAACTTCTCCAGATTTCCTGCGAATCTGGTCAAAATGAGGTCAACTCACCGGTCGCTTGTGAAATCTCACCAACACCTCGGAGCGGCTTCACCTCCATCATTGTTTTTGAAAGTTGGGGTATGGATACAGCTGTCAACTCAGGTTCCGTACCTATGAGCTTGCGGGTTGATTTCGGCAAGTGGACACAAATGATGTGCGTATCTCACCAAGAATGACCCCTATGCGCAAATACTAAAGACCGGACTACGCTTGCAGAGTTGGCGATGGGATTATTGCCTACCCTAGGTGTCCCTCCTAAGGACTTATGCTGTCCCGTCTCATCCCGTCTTTTCCCGGATCGCCGGCGGCGCGCCCATAGAGAACATGAGTCGGTGTAGAAAGGTAAGGTTAGCATTAATCCCTGGCCTGAACTTCGATTGCCTCCACCCTATCCGTGTATATGTCCGACTGCCGTCTTATAGCCTCAAAGCTTATTCTTCGACACGCATTCCTTCACGAGCAATGATCCTTGAAGAAGGCTCATTACGAGTCTTTCGCATGCAAAAAATATTCGTCTGAATGCTGGGATGCCAAACCTAAGCAGACTTCCCGGATTTGGTATTGACTCGCCTCAAACCTAGGATGGGACTATCATCCCGTAGCCCACCTGTTCGCCAGCCTCGACATCGAATTCGTCGATCAGGCTGAAGGTCACCCTAGGATACCTGGAGCCCTGAAAAGTATATTGAGAGCCAAGTGGGTTTGTGAGAGAAACGCAAAACATGGAAAACGCGTGCGCTTGGCAGAACCACAATTATTTCGGAGGTTTTGATGGTGCATCGGAGATTTCGGAAGTTTTCACAGTGTCGGTTGCCAGCCAGGAGCGGCAAGGTACTTTCAAAATGGGCGACAGTATTGCAAAAGGAATCAATTTGATGAATAATTGGTCAGAAACACGCCATTTCAAAGCACAGTTGACTTTATGATTGTGGCAGCAGGCATCGCCAACGACCCTAGAATTTTCCCAGCGCAGGGGCTAGGCACCACACACGTGCTTCGACGAGTTCCTTCACCATCATCAGCCATCAGTTCCTGCTCGGATCGTATTCAACCAACTCCCATAATGGTATACCAACAGCACCATGCATGGTATGTGTTCCCCGTATGGGGTCACATCACCAGTGCCAACGCCCTGATTATCAAGATGCTTGAGGAAAACCCAGCTTTGGTCGTTACTTACTAGGTATGTGACGCATAGCCTCGCTGGTATGCAAAGTTTCCAAAGTGCCTTTGAAACTCAGGCAACATGGGAGCTTACTAAACATGAGTACCTGAGGTAGACACCCGTAGATTCCCCGAGTTACCAAAGGACCGATTCCGTCTCTTGACCTTCGGTGACCCTGAGTAAGCGTTCAATCTTCTTAGCTTCTCAAAAACGTCCGGGCTGACCTTCCAACATAGCATCTCCAAAAATGTGGGGAAGAACACCATTGCAGAGGGCATTGCTCAACTATCCAACTGCTGGATAGAGACCCTGCAAGAAGCCTGTGATGGTACACAAGCCTGGCCAAAGCCTACGGCCCTCATGCTGGACCAGAATGGATCACTCCATACTCTACCACAGGTCAGAAACATCGTTGGACCTGACTGCAAGGCATACATGAACCGGGCCGGTAGTGCCGCACGCCTGTATTCGTTCCTTGCGCCGTCAGGTAAAGGTGGATTTAGCGACTGGGAAAACATTGTCGATAAGTATGTCTCCGATGAGGCATTGCGAAAAGGCAGAGAGCGCAGTGGAATCATCGACAAGGTAGGAGAAATATGTCTCTCACATGACACAAGCAGCTGCGCCTGCCGACTTGTCCAAGTATGACATACACTTACTAATCACCGCTGGCTAGGTGTGCATAGCGAAGAATGGGTTTGATGAGTTCAACGGTACAGTTATCTCAATTCCTGGAATTCAGGATATGTACGACTATGAGCGTGAATTCGGTGAGGTTCCGCTGCAAGCAGGTAAGCTCCCTACCTCGGAACTACTTTGCGTGGCGGTCATCCTGAGTAACACATTCTTGCAGGCGTATCATCAATGCTCAGAGAGACTGTTAGTCTGGCAAAAGCAACTGATGGCGTGATGTGTGCTTCTTCCATGGCTTTAGGGGGCGAGACTATTGCTGCCTGCCAGACTTACGCGACTGTACATCCCGTCGGTGTTCAGGTTACACCCAGAGGTTGGTCTAAGAACGAGTTGGTGGTGAAAGACGAGAGTCTGCGTGACTTTCTCGACAGTCACGGAAAGGGAGAAGTTGTTCTGATCTCATTCGGGTAAGCTTCAACTTCCTTCTACAACGCTCGGGATTATATAGCGGTAGAAACCCATGCTGACTTTCGGCGCTTGCCACAGGTCTCTCGTATTTTCCACCAAAAAGCAAATTTCCAAGCCTTGGTTTCAGCTCTCATCGAGGTCAAGTACCCCTTCGTCCTGGTTCTTGGGGGAATGTTCGCAGGAAAAGCCATTGATCCATCAGAGATCAGCCGAATCAATGACAGTGGTGTCGGCTATGTGTGTGACAGATGGATGGACCAACAATCACTTCTTCAACATCCATCTATTGGGTGGTTGTTTGCACATGGGGGATTCAACTCAACAGTGGAAAGCCTCGTTCAGGGTATCCCGCTCATTGGCTGGCCTCTTGCTCCGGGAGACAACGCCATCAACACGGCGGTTGTTTCCACGAGGAAGAACCCGGTCGCGTTTGAAGTGATGCAGGTACGTATTCTGGACTGTGAGACAAAAGCTTTAAGTTGAAGACTGACCTTCCAAAGATCCATACTGGCAGTGCTAAAGGCAAACCCAGAAGAGGAGGGTTCGATATTGTTGGAACTCCCCAGAGCGTTGAAGAAGAATTCAGAGATATTGTTAAGAAAATGAGGGGTTAAGAAGGAAGTGAGAGGAGAGCAAACGCTCAGACTCTGGCTGAGGAATTGAAGATTGAGAGGGATAATATAGCTAAGGAGATTGTCTCCAAACTAGCTACGACCTGAGCTAAGAGAATCTTGGGTTGCGGCAACTTTAATTAGTGCTTGAAGACTCCAGAGACATGTCTACCCTATCTCACCATTGTAACTAGTTCAACACCGAGAAATAGGTTGGTCAACGAAATGGTGAACTGAAGTCCATTCAGTTATTGAGTCATTTCTCGCAGGCCAAGAGAGACTGCCATGTCGCTGCACAGTGTACACAGTAAGTACAGATGCAAGACCTATTCATTTTGGTTAGTCGGAGGTTTCACGAAGTTTGAATCATCCACTGTGTTCATCGAAGTGCTACCCGGCGTTATTCCTGGATCGGAGATCGTATGAGCATGGGAAGCTCTGCGTTCAGGGGCATTGTCGCGTGGCACACGTGGACGGCGCAGAGCGATCTTATCTCAGAGCTGAAGCTTTTCGCGGACGTCAACTGCAACCGCTAAGCAGCAAGCCTCAATCGCGCTCAGCCGAGTTCTCAGTAATTTAGTTTGCAAAGATGGCCAGCTCAAACGCCAGTAACAATGTTCGCTTCAGCCCCGAAAGCTACCCGCCATTCCCCACAGACCTACCCACAGCTCCCATCGAGAAGATTTCCCTGCGAAGGCTGCTAGAAAAAGACGATGAAGAGGCGAACAGGCTATTTGTCGCGTGTCAGAAGCATGGATTCTTCTATCTCAACGTTCGCGACCACCCAGAAGGCGAAGCTCTTCAAACGGGCGCTCTCCAGATGGCACGACTAGCCGAGGAAACATTTCAGCTTCCACTAGACGAGAAGAGAGAGCATCACCAGGCTTACAATGGCAGCATCTATGGCTACAAAAGCGCTGGGGCACAGAAGACCGACGCACAAGGAACGCCAGATAGTTGAGTTTATGAGCATAGCGAAAGATTTCGTCGTCAACGATGCGCCCAGCCCGAACCAGAATCCGTCCACGATCGTGGAAAATAAGGAGATACTGAAGCCTTTCGTCACGAAAGCCCACGAAACTGGCGTGTGTCTATTGACTCTTGTTGGAACCAAACTCGGACTTGTCGAGGAGGAAGTCAAGAACCGACATCGAATCGACCAGCAGTCTGGATCTCAGTTGCGACTGACATGAAGTCCGCCTCTAGACAAGACGCGAGACCCCGAAAGCCAGATCGCTACGACTTCACACACGGATCTCGGCAGCATCACCATTTTATTCAACTGGCTGGGAGGCCTTCAAATGTGGGAGCCAGAACACCCAGACGGCAGCAAGTTCTGGAGCGCTTCGCGCCTATCACAAAAGGGGCGTTGGACTTACGTCGAACCCGTTCCTGGTTACGCAATAGTCAACCTGGGAGATGCGATGACCAAGTTCAGCAACGGCGTCCTGAATTCATGAAAACATCGCGTCCTTCCGGCTCCCGGAGAACAAGGAGATTTTATTACGTTATAGTGTGGCATACTTCGTGAGGCCGGAGGATGACACGGTGTTGAAGGTGCTTGAAGCAGCTGGAATTCCCCAATGGGAAGGTGAAAAGGAACCGGAAAAGACATTTGGTCAGCACATTTTGGACTTTGGGAGAGCGAAGTATGGCAGGACTTCGTAAAATTATTCCAAGAAAAGAACAAAGCAGTAGCTGTGTAGATGTAGAGTACATAGAGAACCCAAAAGCCCGGAGGCCGTCATTCTGAAGCTATTGACTTTGCGCATTCCCCTACATCACACCATGTGCCTGATTGAATCAGTGCTGGCTGCTGAAGAATGATCTACCACACCTCGGGGCAGATCCCGACGAAGGGGTTCATCTCATTGCGTCTCGCTGCTGCCACATAGCCCTACGGACCACAACCCCGTTGGGATGACGAAGCGTCTGATCGGTGATTTGCAAGGAGCAGGCAGATTCCTTGAATCCGGCAGCAGTTGTCTGCGGGCCCTTGCATGTGGAGACCCCCCGACCATGCGCCGGTGACATTTCGAAAACCTCCGGTTCTTCTGGAGGTCAAGGGACCCTCGAAGCCGAAAGCATCAACGTCCGGACTCAAGTACGGTCTCCACGGATAATACCACACCACTTCTGTCCGTCCCAGCTACCCACAAGTGTAACTTGCATGGCGTGGCGGTAAGGATGAAGAACTCGCAACAGACCCAGCTTTAGTTTTGGTTTTGTTACGTAGTTTTTTAGTATTCTAGAAAGAGATTTTTTTTACTAATAAGCTTTAAGGTATTAATAAATATCCTACTATTTAGCTTTATCTCTTAAAGTTATAGAGAACCTTATAGAAAAAGATTAATACAGCTATAACTAGCTAAACTAAATAAAAGTTATAATATTATAATTTTATTTTTATTTTATATACTACTCTTTATATAACGTACTTTACTAGTCAGCCGCGCATATCAGTCAGCCGCACACTTTTCCTCATCTTTCAAACATCATATAAGTTTTTACAACCAGAACGTAGAAAATCAATTAGCTCTCATCAGCATCTGATTCACTAGACGATTCTACATCTTTAGAACACGTTCGCGCATTATAGCCTGTCTTGCTGCACATACCGCAACGCCGCTAAGCCGACCGACCCTTCTTCGACAGACCCCTATCTTCACTTTCTTAAGGTATTAGACGTTTCCCTTTGCCCTTTTCTTCTAGGATAACCTGAGATTCTGCTATATTAAGTGCTCCTTTAAGCTGGATGTATATCTTTTTTGCTCTCTAGCGCTTAGTAAGCGCTATATTAGCATCTTAAAGTGTTCATACTCAATCTATTAAACTTATGATTAAGTATGCTATTACCTATATACTATTTGCTAGCTAGTTAACCACCTTAATTATTAGTATTAGAGAGCTTCTTTAATAAGCTGAGATCTAAGTTTTAATAAAGTTTAATTATAAAAATGCTTTATATTAGTTAGAGGGTGTTTATAACTGCTAGGCTAGTAGTATTAAGGGATTAGTTATAAGAGGTGTAAGTGTTTATATATATATATATTAAGTTTCCTAATTATATAATTTAGGTCTTATAGTAAAATATCAGCTCTATAGAAGGTAGATTTAATATTTTTATTTATAAAGATCTTATTATAGGCCTTACAGAAGGTAATAAAGAACTTAGATTTTATAATATAGTTAATAGAGGATTTAATAAATAAGTTAATTTCATCCCTATATATATATTTCAAAGGTAAGTATAGCATAATATCTAATAGCTAAAGTAAGTAAGATAAATATAGAGGTATATTAATAGTTATAATATTATTCTGCTTATAGTATTTATTAAATTCAGCTAATAAATAGCTCTTATATCTATTAATTATAAGTATCTAATAGACACCTTTTGCATAAGCCTAAATATGCTTTTTGAAATGCTTAATCTAGTCTAGGCTAGTTTTATTATTAGTCTATCTATTAGTAGTTAGTTTAATCACCTAGTCGCCTAGAAAGCCTAATTCTATTAACTAGTTAGTAAGGTGATAAAACCCTTAAATAATCACAAAAAGCAGGATACACTATCCCCTCAAATTAATACACTTAATAACTATAGCTTATTTATAGTTACTAAGCTAAATAGATTTTGCTTTTCTATATCTATTAGCATATATAACAACTATTAAACTAGTAACAACGCCTATTATAAAGCTAGTCTTATTAAAGTTATATAGATCCTTATTATTAATATTATATTTAGCTATTATATTACTTAATAATATAAACCACTTTAAAATAACCTCTAGGTCCTCTTAAAATACCCTTTAATAATCATATAGATAATTAAATATAGTCTTTAGAGTTAGCTATAAGTTAATAAACCTCTTAGCTTAATACTTCCTAACAGACATCTTATTCTATATCTACAGCAGGAGATTCACTATATCTTCCACACCAGCAAGTTATAGGGGAAATCCTCTAGAATTCTACTTAATAACATATTAGAAAAGTGTTTTCTCTTTAATCAAATTAAGTTTATATCGTTAAGGCTGGATACAGTTGCAGCATAGTTAATTATTTATTCTATTATATAAGGTACTTTTAGGGATACTATATATCTTTATAGCGCCTTGCATACTAAGTATATAACCTAGAGCATATGTCAATCAGATCACCTTAATAGCAAGAATGATCTTATCTTCTTGGGTGTAAATCGGCATTGTGGTTGTTGAGATATTACGCGTCAAAGGTTTAAGTGGCTGGGAACAAAGCGCGTCATGGAAAAAGTGCGCAGCTGACTGATATGTGCAGCTGACTGATATGCGCGGCTGACTGGTAAAGTACGTTATATTTTTTTTGTAAACTCTATAAACCTAAATTTAACTATTTAATTTGTGATGAAAAGCTTATAATAATTATTAAAACCTTTAAGAAATAGTATTTAAGTTTTTAGGAATAAGTTATAAAATATTTAGATATATAAACTATAAGAACCTAATATATTTTATTATATTAAAAATACCTAATAAATAATAAATAAAATAGTTGGAGTTCTTTTTAAAGTTTAATTTCTAAATTATTTATTAAAAAGAATTAAAAAATAGTAAAGCTAACGCTTTTAGCTAGTAATTAAATTATAATATTTTAATATTAAAAGAAACCTAAATAATTTTTAAATATTATAATAATAAGAACTTAATATTAATAGCTAAACTTCTAATAATAGCTAGATAATTTAATATTAATCTAACTAATAAACTAAATAATAAGATAATTATAGAATTTTATAGCTTATTAACATACAATTACTAAAAACCTATAAAAACCTAACAATAACTATAATAGTAATATAAAAGAAAATTACTTAAAAATATATTATAATAATAATTAAGAATTATAAAGTTTATTTAAAAAATAAACT